GTGGCTCAGTATACGGGGTCGCTGTCTTTCACCATGAGGAGCAGTCTTAGAAACCTTGGTGTCACATTTGATCAGTCAAAGCACTATGAAAACCATATCAGTTTAATATCGCGCACATGTTTCCTTTCCTTGAGGAACATCACCAGCAGACTGGGGTCCATCGTATCACAGCCTCTGTTAGAAATGATAATTTATGCTTTTATCTCATCCCATTTAGCCTACTGAAGTTCCCTTTTCACCTCCCTCATAATACAAGTTGTGTTTTTTTTAATACACAACTTGGAGGGTGGGTATAGACCTGCAGCAAAGGGCCGTGAGCGGGATTCGAACTCACGACTGCTACGTCGGGGACTATAGCCCCTGTTTCATTATCCGGTTAAGCAACCAGGGCGCTTTGAGGATGCAAGTTTTTAATCTGTATGCTCCCGTTAATTTCAGTATTATAATTTCTCTATATTTGGATCTTCTGTTGCTTTGTTTTTTGTCTTCTCTCCTTGTTGCTTTTATGGGCTTACGTTGATTTTCTTTGTTAAGCACTTTATAGATTTGTTTTTAATGACGGAAAAGTGATGCTGCATCCCCGGTGGAAAAAAACTGTGTCTGGAGAGAACTATGAAAAAATTTGGGTTGCCTTTAGGAAAACACCAGATTGGCACAATTCTATCTTTTGTTCTCAGAAACACTACGAATATGGCACCAACTTGGAAAACAAGTTTGCGAAATTGGACACCACAGACCTCAACATAACTGAGAACGTAGAATTGTTCACAGCCTCATACAAAGTTCATCACTCAGAAGAAAAAACCAGAGCAAAAACAACCTAAATCAAATGAAGGCTTACGGCAAATTCTGTGAGGGCCTGCAAAAAATCACCGGATGAAAATTTCAAATTTCCCTTTGGTGTGGTGACTTCACCACTGTGAAATACTGCAGTTTTGAATTCATATCAATACCGCACAAAAGTTACTGCTTTTTTATTTATTTGTGTTTGTTCCAGTGATTTGAGGGTTGAAACTACATGTTATGAAATGTTCTTGTTCATGCATTCATTAAGAATCACTTCACTGGACTTTCAAGTATATCACAACTCCACAACAGCAAATAACACGACCTGAAAACAGCTGCTTTAACAACAGGAGTGGGAGACATTTGCTCGACTTTAATATCATCGCTGTGCACAAGCAGTTGCACAAGACCCCAGTTTCTCAACTGAAGCCTCTCAGTGGTTAAACCATCACTAATGTTATATTTGCAGCTTCCACATGTGAACATGGAAATACAGGTAATAAATTGCTGTACGCAGGCACCCAGCAGCCAACTAAGGCGCAGACCACAAACCAGAGTGGTTTAGATCAAGCTGCTTTGTAAAAATTGGGTGGATGTCATTCCCCATTTGTCTCTCTCCTCAGAAATGTCACAGTATTTCAGTCAGCTTTATTCTGTTTAAAAAAACCCAAGAAATTTCTTTGTAAAGTGTGTGGTGAGGTTATTAAGCACTTTTATTAAATGAATGACCAACAGTGTTATTGCTGTTCTGTTTGCTCACATTAGAACAACTTTAAAGACAATGAACAGCTGGTTTAGCAGATGTTACTTCTTCTTGCCACTTTTTGAAGCTTTGTCTAGTCCCTGGATGTACTTCCGAGGAATTTGATAATGATCTGAAATAGAAATATAACATGAACTGACTTCATTTGTTAGAAATAAAGCAATCAAAATCAACTGTTGAAAGAAAGCTGAATATAAAGTATGAATAAGGTCAATACCGAGAAGCAGATTGCCGACTTGATGAATCTGATTGCCTTGGATCTGGACCAGTACTTTGTCCTTGGCTCCTGGGATTGGTTGCAAGACAGAGCTGGCCTGAACTCTGTGCTGCAAAGCAGCGGCTACGACCGCAGGATCCAAACCATACACTTCCAGATTCTTTATCATAGTAACCTAGAGGTGGCACACGGCAACAGGAAAAGTTAGAACAATAAATCAGCCAGCATGATCATGAGCTGATGCTTGCCTAATGTCAGCCATAAAGTAACATGAAACTGCTGCACAGAAAAGCCAAAGGTAAGTCTAAGGTCATTTGAAAATAGTGTCTCCATTACATACTTTGTACAAATGGGGAGCGCTGACAAGTTTAATCTTCAACTGGAAAATGCCCCACTTGGTATATGAATCAACCATTATCAAATTATTCATGAAAGTGACATGACTCCAGGGATGTGCCCTGCGAAATGTTGGTCTATGGAATGTCAGCCAGTGAGTCAGGGTCCGACTGAAATATCCGTTGGATGGACAGCGATAAAAATTTTGCCCAGACATTCGTGGTTCCTATAGGTTGATTACTAATAGCTTGTTCCCCTGAGCCTCAGTCTATCACAAACATGAGGTGCAGCTATTGAATAAATTGCCATGAATTTCCGTACAAACATGAGGGGCCCTTTCTAGATAAATTGGAATAACTTTGGAAATCACTATGCTCACCTAAGAAGATGAGTGTGGTAGTCATTACACCCGCTCAATATCCATTTCTTAGCTTTGACACTGTAGCATGTTAAAGTTCCTTTTTTTTCCCCTTTGCTTTATTTATTCTGGAAGTCCACTGAGATCTTATTTGCAGGAGAGACCAGACTACAAAAACATGTGTTACACATTCGCAGTAACACAGTTCATTCACTCGAGATAAAAATCACACACATGCACACACAAATACCATGTCAAGTCAGAACAGTCACAAGTAAAGTAAACCCAAGCTTTTCTTTGATTTGGTGTCATGATAACCCTCTCTGAATGCTACTAAAGATGTTAAATATCCTGGCAGTTTAAAAAGCAAGGCCCTACAAATGAGGAAACCAGAATGCCGAAGCCTTCTAGTTGTCAGTCCAGCCAACCCTGACTCACAGTAATGAATCCCAGGACGCTGTGGTAGAAAGCATCCAGGGGTTTACGGGTGGTGACAGCAGCATGACAGAAAGATGGCTTGTTGAATGATTTGTGTTTTTTTTGTTCTCAAAGGAAGAGTAGACTTTGTTGCAGTGTAAAAATACATTTTGAATCTAGCTTTTTCATTTCATTTCATTTACATGAGGTTCGTAGCACAATCTGCCGTCGAACCACATTAGATATTTAAACCAGATATTTATAACGCTGGACTGTATAAGTTAATTTAAAGAGTCGATATGAGTCGACATCAATGGTATGGAGTTAGTTAGCTTTAAAGTCAAAGTACTGGTGTTCCTAAGTACAGGCTGTGGACACTTGTGCTCCTTAAACTCTCTTTCTAAAAGATCCAACAAAATCCACATTGATAGATTTGACAATTTTTGGTATTGTAGCAAAAGTTGTCACCTTCTTATTGGAGCCTCGAGAAGCCACAGAGATGTCTATAGGCTCAATATGGCCCTTCTTTATTATAGATGCTTGTCCGGGGAACACAACTTGAAAACACTCCTGCATTCTTCCCAATGTCCTGTTAAAAACATGTTTGACTGTAGTTAGATGATAGAGAGACAGATATCCTGTTGAATTGTGTTAAATGTGTATATCTAGCACAAAAATGCATAGCATATGATCACCAAAAGCTCCACGTAAAACAACGCTAGATGCTCCTTTCATTTACTTGCAGAAAAAGCTAGCTTTGCTACCCATTTCACAAAATATAAATCCTTAGAAGGAGATAGTTATTGAGCCAAGTAATCTATATTTACCCCAAATAGTAAAGGAGTAAAGAACCTTTTGCTGAGAAAAGTTTATTAGTGGGAGAAACTGAGCGGCCTACCAATACTTCACAGACTTACCAGTGTTTTCTAGATTAGTACTGCTGCAAAAATGAAAGTCTGTAACAGGACAGACTTTTTGTTTCTTCCTGTTACAGAGAGGTGATGATGCTTTTCATAGCAACAGATACAAACCAGACATTGCCGACATCAGAGCAATGACACTGTTCCTTACACATTCTTCACATCTAGATTGAAGGTGGCATTAGCACAACTACTTCATTTGGCGCCCATCTTGCAGTCACGCTGCCTTTAACTGCCTACAATAGTCATAAGGCCTTTTTACAGTCTTGAACAAAAGTTAACATACACTTGTAAAGACCATGTGTATCATGGCACTCTTGTGTTCCCAGTGACACCTCCAACTCCAACTCTTTGTCACAAAAAAAACTCAACAACAATCATGCATTTTGGTTTTTGACTGATTTACTAGAGGTCTTCTAGAAGTATGACTATTACATTAAACTGTAATATTTTGGTGAATGTCTTTGACCATTTTCACCTCAATTAGTTGCTTAGGGTTGCCATCCAAAAGCTTCTGGTAAGTTTTTGGCAGAATTGGTGCAGTTCAGTTACATTTTGGGGGTTTCTGACAGACATATTTCTTCATCACAGTTCACAGATTGTTGTTGGAGTTTAGGTCAGGACTTTGGCGAGACCAGTCTAGGACCTTAATTCTAGCCTGATTCTCCTCCTTTTATTTTGTTTTAACCACTTCTGATGTGTGTTTAGGGTCATTGTCTTGTTGGAACCCAACTGTATCCAAGACGCAACCTTGTGGCTGATGATTTTAGGTTTTCCTGAGGAATGTGGAGGTAATCCTCTCTCTTCATTATTCCATCTACTTTGTGTGAAGACGTAGTTCCACTGGCACCAAAACACAGAGCATAATACTACCACCTCCATGCTTGATGGTAGGCTTGGTGTTTTTGGGGTTGAAGGCATCACACTAGCATTCCAGCAGTTTCTAATTCATTGCAAACCTGCTTTTTGGTGATTCTTTGTTGACCATCCTGACCAATTTTCCCTTAGCAGGAGGTGATAGCTGGCATTTTTCCCCCTGATAGTAGCAGGGACACAACTGTCTCATGCACTTTCTACTTACAAACAAATGTTTGCTTAAATCATTTTGGGCTCTGAAGCATCTTTGAAATGACTCCAAGTGACTTTTCGAACTTCAAATCAATGATTTTCTTCTTCACAGCTGTTCTCAGCTTCTTAGACGTTCCTAGTGTAGTGTTGTGGCAGAGTGTAAGAGTGTATTAAATGGGCCCTAAATAAATTGGTTCAAAGGAGTCAGCAGCTATAGCCACAACAGTCTACATCACGGAAACTGATCATTCACGTTGCTGTACTTACATTTTTGATCCAGCAGATTTTGTCATATTTTCAAAAGACCTATATTAAATCTATGAAATCATCAAACATTCCATCATAGAAGAGTAGGAGTTGTAAGAGTTATTGGAAACCCAAGACTACAATGTTATACACGGCCTTTACAAGCATATCTAAACTTTTGTTTACGATGGTACACAGGGATTTACAGTTATACTGGATGGTAGTGAATGACTGATCTATAAAATTCCACACTACAGGACGCCCTGGTAGCTCAACCGGATAAGACAGCGACCCATGTATCAAGGACTTTAGTCCCCGATGCAGCAGCCACAGTTCGAGTCCAGCTAGCGGCTTATTTGCTGCATGTCCTTTCCCCGTTCTTCTCCCCACGTTTCTCTGTCTCTACACTGTCCTGTCTAACAAAAGCGAAAAGCCCAACAAAATAATCTGTAAAAAACATTTCCACACTATTTGTACACAACATCTATAAAATCTCCCGTCAACGTAGTTCAGTCTAAAGCTTTCCAAATCTAGTTTAACCATAAACAAACTAAGAAAAAAAATAAAATCATCTTTACCTGCTGAAGAGGTCGTCCCACTTGAGAGACTCTACTTCCTGGTACTCGGATTTCTCCAGTAAGCAATCACATAGAGCAGGATTTATGGTCACATAACTAGTAGAGGAAGGAGAAGCACTGAAGTTGGACAGGCACTTATAAACATGCTTAAAGTATGCTGCCTTTTTAAGCTATGCTCCATTACTTGTTATCAGTTTGTTTCAGAATAAAAAACACACAAATTCTCATGACAAAAACAAACAAACAAAAAATGAGATGACATCAGAGTCACAATTATATATTTTACTTAACTGTAATGACATTACATGGTCTAACGTCATCTCTGTGTTTATTCAATGGAAACTAAGGCTGCTCTTTTACTACTGCCAAGTGCTAAAAAACCCAATAAACAACGTAATCAGTCTTCTGTGATTTCCAAGGTTCTTTCTCCTTTATACAAGCTATTTAGCAAGCAGAATTAAATTATGAAATGTCAAGTCATTAATACATTTCTACATTATTATCTAATTAGGAAATCATGACCTCAGTCAAACTCTTTTGCTGAATGTGACACAGACAACATGCACTCCACATCTGCATCACACCCTTAAAGAATTGAAGCATGTTCTTACTTCTTATTATTTTCATCCACCAGTTCATTTTTCTTCACATATTCTGTGATGATACTTCTCACTTCAGCAGCGTGCAGCGTTGTTCCTTTCCTGCAGAGTTGATCATTTTGAAAATGTTAGAAATTTAGCCAATATCTTGGCAAATATCACTTTTTCTTCTCATTCCTGTGTAAATATTTCTACCGGGACAATTAAACTCACACTGTCATGAAGGTTGAAATACTCAAGTTGATCCAACTTCATGGTCATTTTGACACATACACATAGTTTGTGCGGAACATTCTTTGTCTAACTCACTGATACAAGTGGAATGAAGAAAATACTGAACACAACAACCAGTACAGTGAATCACAATGGAGCAATTCCAGAGACTGCAGCCTTTAAAATGCTGAATTAACACCTCTCTAAAACCCTTTCAAATAAAACTAGACATTCAAACTTTCATAAAAGTGGGCACCATTGTTGTGTTAGACAGCATTTGTACTGGTTTGGTGTCTAATGAACTGGAAACTAAATGTATCTATAGAAGGTGGACAGAAGTTGGATACCATAGAATGTACAGCCTTAGCCAAATATCCTGTCTCAACAGTGGCTGTAGTTAGTATTCACATCCCCTGGGAAGTTTCCCCTTTTCTATTGCATTTCAACATTGAATCATGGGTAATTCAATTTGGCTTTCTGGACAAGAACTTACCAAAAAAAAAGATGTCAAAGTGAAAACAGTTTTCTACAAATTAATGTCAATCAATTAAAATATATAAAATGTGATATTAGTGATTGCATTCACCTCCTTCAACACAAGATTTAGTTCATGCACCTATGACTGCAACTGCATCACTGACCCTGTGTGGATTGGTCTCAGTCAGCCTTGCACATCTGGAAACTGCAATTTTACCCCATTACTTTCTTTTTTTTTTTTTCAAAGCTGACAGGTTGCACAGGGATTGTGAGTGAACAGCCCTTTTCCCATATCACTAGGTGATATTCCCAGTGAGTTTGCTCTCCACTACTCTGGTGTAAAAAAAAAAAAAATCCTCTGGACCTTCAGAGAGACTCCTAAATTTCATGAGCTGTGAAAAAGATGCTCTCTTGTTTGGTCCATGACAGATGCTCAGAGATGTGCGTGGCCAAGTACTTAAACAGCTTCTCCACAAGCGATCCGTTTATCCTCAGTGAATTGTAGTTCTTCTGCTGGTTTCTTCTACAGTCCCAAATCAGCTTCTTGATTTTGCTGAGGTTCAGCAGCAGGCTGTTGGTCTGGCAAACTATCAGGCTGTCAACCTACTCTGTGTATAGTCTTATTTTAGACTTAATGTGTGTTTAACTCATTTACATAAGTTTGTAGATTCTGTTGCCACATTGACATCAACGGCTTCTTTGTTTGTTTTGTTTTTTTTAATTTTCATGTAAAAAGTCTAATTGAATTGACAGAGATTCAGTGTTGGTTAAAAAGCAATAAAAAAAGGAGAAAACCTCAGAGGAGGAACCTTTTAGGAATTTTAACTAGATAATTGAAGTTTTCATGTCTGATGTGGGTTTTCAACAAAAACTTCAATTACCTAGAGGAAACTCCTCCAAAATTCCTCTCCTCTGGACCATTTAACAGCTTCAGCCTCAGGGCAAAGCATTACATATGCTTACACAGTGTTGTGGCTTACTGGGCCACGAGAATCAAACACAGTCATCACTGACATTATGAAAAACACTCATGCTTTTCCTACTATGATGCATCAACATGTCTGCTGGGAAAAAGCCTCGTGAAAAAAAGAAGCTGTGAACATGACACAATGCTTTTTTGTTAAAACGCATACAGCACATCAGATCAGATGTGAAAAAATGACAGATGTGCTGTGGGAACCATTCAAAAATTAGGCTGCAAGAAGAGGCAGGGTTTGCAAAATGTGGGTGATCCATCATTCAAGTGTCAGTATTCTCCGTTTAGTGAAATTCTTTAGTGTCTAGCACATATGGAGCTGTAAATAAGCAAACAAAAGAATGATTTTAAACACATGGAAACATTACCTTATCCCTTCACAGACTGGTTGATCACAGTTATAGTACAGCCCTCCTGGGGCTGCTGGGGATTCAATGACTCCTCTGTCTAAACACAAGCTCCAACTCTCCCTGCTATGTCCCCCTGCTGTCTGAACTATGCAAACATGAGGCTGCAAGAAGAGGCAGGGTTAGGAAAACACACAATCACACACACACACACACACACCTCTTGTTTGCATCCAGAAAGAGAGGCTCCAGCCGAGCAGGCACGGAGTATAGAGTTGTGATCTCCGGAGGATGGTACACTATTTCTCCTTCCCCTCCATCCTGCACCACAGCTGCTTCAACATCTGTCTCCTCAGGAATGCTGAAGGAACGCAGTCTATAAAATGTTCAAGTATTACAAGGAAAACACAGACTTATCAGTCTAAGAGTGTGTGGGTTGTGAGTTAGAATCTCCACCAAGAATTTCTTGAATTTGAGACAAAGCTTGACTCACTCTGGATTTTTCCAGTCCACCTCCACAATGCTCTCCACACCCTTGGTGAGTTCTTTCACTCGCACAAGATGATGCTGCTGCTGCATGGCATGTAGAAACTTGGAAAGCTGTTGGGAAGAAGCATACATAATGATGGAGGTATACATTTTCTATGAACATGTGTAAAATGTCACATTCTGGACAGCTGATATACCTTTTTATAGCTGGATTTCTTGATATCAAGTTGTGTTCCACTTGGGCTGAAAAATGTGAGATGTGTTCAGTATCAATTTAATTCACATGAATTGGCACTTCTAAAAAAGACGAACTGTACTTTACCAGCAGGAGAACATGTGGTTGCGGAGAAATGTACTTGTCAGCAGAGGGAGCTCTGACTTCTTCACCTTGCTCTTAAGAGCATGCAAGAAGCATTGCAACAGCAGGGCGTCCATTATCTCTGTAACGTCAGGAGATGACCTGAGTCACATCCTTTCCTCTCTGAATGTGCTTCTATGTTACCACATCAGCAGGCCTTATCCAGTTGAAGACCGAACATATGATCATTTAGGGGACTAACATTATTTTATATATATATATATATATATGTACGTGTGTGTATGTGTGTGTGTAGGTGTGCGCGCGTGCACTTAATCTGGTACCTTGTGGGGTTTTCTGGTCATCCTGGTTCTCGTCCTCTTGCTCACTGCCCTTTTCATCTTTCTCTTCCTCTTTCTCAGCTAAGTTCAGCTCCTTAACACCAGAACAGGCTTGATCTGTGGCAGATTCACCCAAGCTCTCTTGGTCCTGTAATACCTTTTCAACCCCGTCGTCCTCTTTCTCACTGACCTCAGAATCCTCTCCATCTACCTCGTGTTCTTCACTTTCGGTATCCGATAAAGAAGGAGGACCTGACTTATCTCCAAATGCCCTGAAAAGGATATGAAAAACAAAACAAAAAAACCCCGCACAATTTACTTGACTGTACGTATGCATTTAAATATACTGGCTTCAGAGAAAGTAGTTGTTAGCAAGACAACAACTAATGATGATCTCAATAACCAATAAAAAAACGAGATTACCACTCGCATGTCAGTCTGGCTAATATACAGCAACAGCCATAGTTAAATGGCTTAGCATAGCTTAAAAACGGTTCAAATCTTGATGCTCAGCTAATCAGCTGCTGGCTGTGGCCGCATATTTAACAGATATTATTGCGATGTCAATCTTTGCATCTAGCTTTGGTGAAGAATGCAAATAAGCCTATTTGTTTAAAAAGTCCAGAAATATTCATTCATTCATTAAATGTAGGAAGACAGAAGCTATTTACCAGAGATAATCCATGTATGTGTGGAGAACACACAGTCCTCTGCCTTTCATACCCAAACTGTGCATCTCTTCACTGGACACTGCAGCTGTGCCAAGCGCAACAGGAGCTCTGCAATAAACCAGGACAACAGCATCACACCTAAATCTATGAGGAACGTGCAAGAAGTCTATCCAAATCTTTACTACAGCATACCTATTATTCACTATTGTAACAGCACAGCAGTCTCCCCGTTTCACACCTGGGAGACCAGACGAAGGCACCACCACACCTGGCAGCATGAGATCTTAGAAGAAGCACAATTTATTTATTTATTTTTAATCTGTTAATATCAGTTTAAGTATACAAAGTATCTGAACAGGACTTCTGATCTCGAGAGAAGTAGTATACCTGCCCCTCCAATCAACTTCTGAAGCACAGGTGGCCATGTCCTGAATGTTGGTACGAGATTAGGGTAACGCCAAAGCACATACACTGAAAAATATGACATCAAGGAAGTTACTTGAGAGCAATTCTATCAATCAGTCATCTGAATCTAGCTTTAGTGCTGGTTACTTACAAGGTTCAAGGTCTTTATTTATCACAAACACAGTCATACATGGTATGTTTTGCGTACTGTTCCACAACCGAAACAATGTTGAGAAATGAATAAAAGTAAGGATAAGGATACCTGTGGGATAAAGTCGTTTCTCCAGTTCAAAGAACAGAGGATTTTTGTGAAGAACATAAACTGTTACAGCTTCTCCCTTGTGCGCATAAATCTTCACAACATTTATTTCCTCTTTGTTGGGGACCAGGTCAGACAGTTCATCGGCAGACAGCGAAGGAAAGGCTGCAGCTATGTCAGCTTTGAGCTTTCTCCTAGAGACAAACATGAAAGAAAAGTTCGGGAAAGATTCCAATATCTACAGTCAGATATTTTACATATTCACACCTGCAATATTTTCAATACTTTATTTTCAAATATTATCTACAACGCTTTCTCTCAAACTAAACGCAGCCTTCTGCTGTTTTCACACCCCCTAATTGTTCCATAACAGGCACCAGACTAATCAGCTACTGTTGGGTTTGTTTTTTAATTGATTTAAATTATTTTAAAATGCATTTTCATTTGTATATTTCTAAAACAGCGCTAGCTTGTCAGAAATACAATTTTCCTCTACAATATTAGTATTATCTTTCCCTTTGGCTAAGAGTATTCATTTAAATATTCTTTTTCAGTAAGATGAAATTTGCTGCACATATTCCAAGTAAGCTTAATCAATCAATCAAGAGTGTTGCAATATAATAACTAGAAGTTCCTTGTCATCTAATTAGACTGAATACCAAAGGGCCACACTGAATTTAATAGAAAAATTGTTTATTTAATTACCGCCAAAATCAGCATTACAAAGGTAAACAACAGGTCATATCCTTGCTAAATAATGACCGATATTGCCACTATTGCCGTCTAATAATCGCCTGACCCCATCCTTTCAGCCCAGAAGCTGACATTCACTGAAAATTCACTAACAAATCATATACGGCTGCTATCTTTATATATAGCTTCAACCAGATCAAATATGAAGCTTAACAAAATAGTACTTCGATTTTGGCTTGTTCCATTCATGACAGCCAAATATGTTTAACGTTGGGTTCTTTAGGCCGTTTCCATTCACCTCGTCACAAAGTAATTGACATAACCTGCAGAAATGAATACATGGCGATCAGTAGAAGCTAAGCTCCTAGCAGGCAGCAGCTCTGACTCACCTGTCTGATCCTTTGATTACAGTGTTGGATTTGACACGAAACGCTTTGGCAAACATTTTCTCAGAAAATAAACCAGCGTCACTGAGATGCTCCTGATGATAATCGATCTGATATTCAACACGTCAGCACAGCGCTTCTAAAACAACCCATTTTTAGCATGTACTGCCTTCTGTGTGTATAATGTTGCTTTACTGTCATCAGCTGTTCCTCGTTGGGATACGCTGGTCCGACGCTTATTTATATCCGACGTGAACCTGTACCGCGGCAGAGCAGTATATCATTAGTTCCGCAGGACAAACCGAACACATTAACATATTTTATTAATTTGTCAGTAATATATTCTCATCCATGGGCATGTTACATGTATTCAGAAAAAATTAATTCAACCTCCCCTGTATGCCTAATGATTTCAATGCTTTCTTTGAGAAAATATCCTTTAGAGTGCTGACTGCTATAATTAATCGCCTTGCTTGTTTACTATTATTTAGGGAATTAAGCCGATAAAAAAGACAGGTCAGGCAGATTAGTTGTATTTGACTTGGGTTAATTGCAGCTCTCTGCACTTCTTTCAGTCATGGAAGTGAACTGTCCATGCCACTTCTCATGGCACTTGTGACTCGGGTAGCCTTTTCATTTCTTTTTTATTTATGTTGCTTTCTTTAAATTTTATTTTGTTGTCTTTGTTGTAAAACTAATTAGCAAAACTTTTAAACTCAAAGCTTCGCCTTCCCTTTACGTTTGGTAAAGAAAAGATACAATACCACATCTGACCACACGCCCCGTGGAGCGCTGTTTCACTCGTTTGAGAAAGGAAAAGGAACAGACTGCCTGTGGTAAAAACACTAAGACAAATAAATAAATCTCTTTATAAAGAAGACAGTGATCACTTTTTATTGAGAAAGTGTCAGTTGCTCAGTTTGTTGGAGAGAGACTACCACTGTAGTTCATTTCCAACACATTTGGTCCTTTGTTTGAGACTATTACACTCATTAATGGTGCAAGCTGACGTACATTAAATGATGCATTGCTACATGACGTGCCTGGTGTGTGTTGTACAAAACTGAATTTCTTGATTGTGTCTTCAGAATGCTGGATTTTTCCTTAACCCCTTTCAGACATGACTCCTTGCCATGATTCTGAAGGCAACCGAACGTGCCGGCTTCAAGTCTGAATGAGCACCCTGGTCACTTATCCACAAAAGTCGTGACGGCAATCTTACTAGGTTGGACAAGGTAACATTTCCATGTCACTTTTAACATGACACAAATCTGACTTGCATGTAGTCGCCGTAACGGAAAGCCATGCACAAGCAATGGTATTTTAACTCATACGTAGCTAAGGCTTTTTTTCACATTTAAGATTTATTTTACTGTTGGTAGAGTAGTTGTAGAGTAGATAGCAGAGAGTAGAGACATCCGGAAGTGTACTCAGGCTTACCTATTCATCACTTTATTTTTTTAAACAAATAAAAGAACCTCAGTTCAAATGACAACTGTGGCACCCTGGTTGCTTTTCTGTAAAAGCTGTGAAGTAACATATCTGAATCACTTTCTACACAGCACAAGTCTGAAATGCAACCAGCCGCATTAACAGTAAGGCACACACAAGCAACAGTACTTCCAGCTTTATGAGGTGATGAAGGGAAGGCTTTTTCCACATTTCAGCTTCAATGCTGATTCAAGCAAACATCAAAGAGGTCAAAAAACCTCTTTGAGTTTGTGTGCCAAAATCTCAACACACCTTTCTTATTCACTCAATTTCACATCTATGATTCAGCACCAACTCATAGAAATTGTACTCACCAAAAATGACTGTCATGTGGGAGTTTCTCCCCTACAAGATGTAAACAGAAGCTTAAGTTTAGGTTATTGCTTCCAGTTCTCTATCTTCTGTTTATGAAATAGATGCAGTCTCAAGCAGAAGCCATGGGCTGTCTGCAAAGCAAGAGGGCTATGCGAGTTTGTGCACTTAAAACAACAGAGTTACACTGTTTCGGTGTAACGACAGAAGAAGGCTGTGTGTGTGCTTGACAGGAGCTTGGACTCACTGAGGACTGTGGTCAAGAGATGCATACACAGCACAGCAAAGTCCATCCTTGACAACGCCACCCACCCTCTTCACAGCATCCTGGCTGGAGAGATCAGCAGCTACACTATGCCACAGGACTGAACAGTACAGAGATCCTTTGTCCCCAAAGCTATCAGGGATGTGAACACCTCAGTCAAAGACAGCGACTCATGACCTGAACTCATGTTTTCCACATTCCAGTTACTCAACTGAATCGGTCCCATCTGTGTGTCTGTCTGTGTGTGTCTGTGAACAGTCCCTGGCTTGAGCACTAAGATGTAACAAGATGATATTTTCCAGGTGAACAAGGAATGGCCTCTCCTTGGCGATCGATTAGATTTTGGGGTCAACCAGTGCAAAAATAGCTCCACTAGAGGTCAAAGATCACCTTTTCAAAAATGCCGTATACCTTCAAATGGGTGGAAGGTGATTGATGGTATTTGGTGCAGTTAAGCAACCATGCTGGAGCTTTCTGTTGGTGATGTTACATTTGACCTTTGATGTTATTTTAAGGTCAAACTCAAGGTCATGCATTTTGATTGCACTGTAACTTGAAAATGGTTTTGTAAAATACTGTATTGGAAATCATAGATAGACTTCCATCAGGGGATGTAAGATTTGACCGTGGGTGATATTTCAAGGTCAAACTCAAGGTAAAACAAATGTAGCTATCACCATCATATTTTAAATTATAATAACATGTAATGTATGTATGGATAGTACACTTTTCACCTTGGACAACCAGCCAACAATGATTAATGAAAGCAACCATCTATTTTGAAAACAATGGTTTATTTTTAACTATATCCCTCTACTGATGGCCCTCTAGTTATTTCTGTTTTTACACTGTACTTAGACTTTTTAAAATACAATTTCTTACTGAAAATTTAGCAACTTTGTGCCTATTTTTGTACATATCAACAATTTCTGCACCTTATTTCTTTGACCCACGCAATTTGCATGCTTATTGCACATGCTTTTGTACATTGGAGACTGATCCTGTCTCTATGTGAAGGATCATTTATAATTATATGTAAATAATGTCAGATAGATAGCTAGAATCGATCCGGATGAGCTGTCACACACAGTATCAAAGTTTTTCAGCTGCAGTGAAATCATTTATTACATATCGGTTGTAAAAAAAAAAACTTGACTTAAAAAGCAGTGTGCTTTTTTTTCTCCACTACATTCAAAAAATGTTCAACCTCACCAGAAAATGTCACAGGGGAAAGATTGCTCTTGCACAGTTTTTCAACATAGTCTCCTTTAACATCAATGCACTTAGTCCAGCGAAGTTCAAGGTTCACTATCCCTTTGCAAAACAAGGTCACTTCTTAAGCCTCCAGATACTCCTCAACAGCATGCATGACTTCATCATCACTCTGAAAATAGCGACCACGCAAGTAGAAACAGACAGAAGTGTGACAGCGCAGGTCGGGTCAGTAAGGTGCATAGTTACAACAGTTCTAAGCCCCATGTGGCTACAGGTGCCTTGTCCTGCAGAAACAGCATGCCAGCTTGAAGCTTTCCTCTCCTTTTTTCTTTGATTGTTCAAACATTTGAATGTTTGTGTAGTGTGATATAAGGGCAGTATGTAATACCCCCAAAATGAGAGTTATGGCCCTTGTTTCTGGGGGAGGCGGGGAACTTTTTGAAGTACCCTTGTAGAAAACCCACACTGTAAAGTCTATGTGTGGGACGTCAAAGTGGTCAAACAAACAAACATTTTAAACTGAACCTAAACTTGAGGAATTTACATGTGAGGGAGAAGCAGGCTCAGGTGAGGATGTTTGTGCTTTTAAATCACCCCAACAAATGTAATCGGGGCTGCGTGACAAATTTTCATCACTTTAGCAGACTGGTGAAGCCACAGCTGGTACATATCCCTTAGATATAAACAGATTACTTTCTCCTTTTAGGAGAAGTATAAGAAGTATAAGTGTTTAAATAGCCAGATAGATAGGTAGATAAGGTGGGCCAGGATTATAGGTTTTATTGCACAGACCACTTTAGTAACTCCTTATCAACAAGATTTTTACATCAGTAAAATACAAGCTTTTGACATAAGTGCCAAACATGAAGACTGTGTGCAGTATGACTTTTTCCCCCCTCCTCCTATACTTCATTATTACTCGTAATATTCAGTATACCATGTCTGAAATGTATGGGGCTAAAACAGAGACGGTATTGGTTGTCATTAAAAATGAAGTTTGTCGTTCTAAATAAAGTTTGGCGTTGAAAAAGAAAAAAATGGAACCTAAATATTTGTCATTTCAAACCACAAGTAAGTCTGTTGCTTTCTGCTATGGGTTCCTAAACAGGGCAACAGGGAGAGAAACAGCCTTAGTTGTGGTTTGAAAGTTTCAGGGGAGCTCAAGGTGGCCATTGTCTGAACTCGTGGGTTCTGTAGGGAGGAAGACCTTTTTTCCTTAATGTGCAAATTACACTTAAATCATATGCCCCTTGCCTCTCCCCTCTTACCCTCTTGACTCCTCTTACCACAGCAAAACAGAGACAGGAAGTTGTCACTGAAAACAGAGAACATTGACACATCATTAAAAAAAAACCTTTGGCTGTGTCCAGAATCACCCAGCATACCCTACACAGTGCACTATATCAGGGTGTTCGCCGTTTTGTAGTGCTGTCCGAATGTTAAGTTACAAATGCTACACCCTATATAGGGCACTCAAAATATCCCACAATGCACTGTGCAAAGTAGTGTACAGCTGATGGTCACTACCCAAGAAATACGGACCATCATGCATTGCGTGAAAGGAAACGCAAAGACAAACGAGAGTGCGAAAACTTAGCATTAAAATGTAAGTAGTTTCCTGTTTATGTTTTGTTCAGTTTTATTTTACTCGTTTCTTAGCTAGGGAATAAACTGTGAATATGATATTACAAATTCTTTTTTTTTTTTTTTTTTAAGGTCTCAATTTTAGCCCCTTAAAAATGGGCTTTATTGTCATCTAACTGAGGGCATTTGTTGGCCATCAAACACTTCAGAGAGCAGTTTAAACTGGATGTGGAGCTTCTTTGTCCAGGTTTTCTTGACCTCTTCCAGGTTTGTGGGGGCAGTTTGGTGCCAGCGGTGGCCCCTTCCGTCCCCTCCACCCCTCGGACTCGCCCCTGTCGGACTGTTGGTGAGAGATGCTGAGTTAACGTCCGCAATTTTAGCTTTTGAAGTTTTTCCTACTTTAATCCTATTTGGTGTAGATACTAAAACGAGACTCCACGGTGGGGACTCGAGCTGTCAGAGCACCTGTCGGACAGAGTTTTGCTCGTAGCTGCCCGTCGGAGTAACAAGTCGAGCCGCGGCTATCTTTGCTAGCGGCTAATATCGCACAAGGACAACATGAGCTAGGTGGTCCGGCTAGCTAACACGGTGAGGGAAAACTACAACTTGCAGAGAGAAGAGGAGCAAAAACAAAACAAAACACCTGTTGCCGTGGCCGGTTTTCGCTCACAGTTAGCATGTCGAATCAGAACCAGCCGGCTTTCCCGACCCAACAGCAGCCCAACCTGAACTCTGCTCATTTGCCACAGCTTTTCGTGAAACCCTTCAACAGTGCTCTACAAGTCAAAAGGAGCGTAATAACAGACGATTACAGTGTCACGAGTCAGGTGCTCGGCATGGGGATAAATGGCAGAGTGCTGGAAGTGTTCCACAGAGAAACTGGACAAAAGTATGCACTGAAGGTAAACACGTCGATCCTAATGTAGTGTTGTGTCACAGACCAACACAAGGCTGGTGTGTGGAAGTGTGAGAGAAAAGATTTCAGGGATTGTGCTTCACAACATTGGCAGCACGTTGTTTTTTTTTAGTGTGGCAGCTCAATTATGGCACAGCATTTGTCATTATTAACTAACTGTGATAACGCAGCTTCCCTTTAATAAGTTCAGGCAGAAGGATGTTCTCTGTACCTTTGACACTTCAACCCAACATATCAGTTTCTGCTGGGAAAGATGAACTGCTGCTAGTACATGATAACTACTGCAGTGGTCTTTTGCACAATCTTGCGTTTAGTCTTTATATCTTACAGTAATTGTATCTGTCATAATGTATTAGTTTTACCTACTCTGTCAGCTACTCCTGTGCTATGAAATATGGCTTGACAGATAAAGCCCCTCCACTGATTTCTCACTATCTGAGTGTAAACATAGCTTGAACGCAGCACCTAATGCTGGCAGAGCAAATTTCCCAGGGTGCAGAGATGAAACCTTGGGAGCGATTTTGGAGTACAACGTGTTAATCCTCTGACTTTTAGCATCAGTATCTTTAGAAGGTCAAATCTGACATTGGAAAAAAAAGAGAAAAGATCCATTTCAAAATCTTGGATGAACAATACAGCATTGCAAGACATGATTAATTCCATGTACCCGATATTTGCTTTAATTCCTGAGCTGCTCTAGTCATTGTTATGTCCGTAAAGTAACTAAGGACAGACTTTATAGAGTGATTTATGTTTGCAGAAAACAGGATGAAAACGTCGCCAAAAGGTTTCGTGCTGCGAGCTTGTCTGCCTCGTCTCACATACTCGCAGGCGCTAAACGAAAGTGCATTTGAGGCCGAGCTCACCAAAATGACAACTCAACAGATGCTTGTGTTTCATCTGTGATCACAGAAAATCTACTTCTCATACACTGTTTCCTCTTCCAGAATAGTACGTGTCTCCTTCGCTGTTTAACTCTGAGTTTCAGCCAGTAGGGAGAGACAAATCAAGATATTACCTCAGTGCATACCTCTGGCTGCTTTTAGTCAATCATATGTCGTGTGTGATTTGTGCATGACTACAGATGAGCTCTTCTGAGTGGCGTGTTTGGGGTGACAGGCGGTGTTTAGAGCTAGGGACAGAGTTCAAGAAGTGGGGTCACTGTTGGGATCAGACGTGAGTTATAGATTTTGTTCTCATTGAAAGCTGTAATTTTCAGAAATTTTGGTGTTCATACTCAACAAACAGCTTTTTGTCAGGGTCTAATATCTGTCCTAGACATAGGTAATTATATATTGTCCAGGCGCTCTGGCCTCTGGCGTACCATGTTCAGGTGTCTGTTTTGAAAGTGTTGAGTGTTTACTTGCCCTATCCAAATGCTGCCAGCTTGAAAGAGAGAGGGGGACATGCCTGTGTCTAAAAGTAGCCTCGTGCAAGAGGCCTGAGATGACTGAGGGATTATGAAATCTGGAGGGGTACAGCTGAGAGTATATGATCATGGAGACAGCACACTCTCAGCTGATACATCTTTTTACCTGACCATAGTGATTATAACTCACTCTTTCAGGTTATTTTGCAAAGCCAGTTTCTTTATTTAATAGTAAGGCGGTTGATATGTGCAGTGCAGTTTGTTTTTTTTTGGCCAAATCTAGAGGCTGTGCTTGGCTAAAAGTAAACAGAGATCCGGTTTCTCTTCCTGACTCAGAATGATCCTTTAGTGGCTGACCAAGCACAAAAATGAGCATGTTGAGGACTTAAACAACTCTGTTTCCATTTGGTATATTTTATCATAACTTAGATGTTTTATATTTTTTTAAAGTTATTTTTTTGGCCTTTGTGCCTTTATTGGATAGTGTTCGTGAGAGAGAGAAAGGAAAGTAGGGGATAGAATGGGGGGAGGACATGTGGGAAAGGGTCATGAGCGGGATTCGAACTCATGGCCTCCACATTGGGACTGTGGCCCTGCACATGGGACGCCAGCTCAACCAGGTGAGCTATAGCGGCGCCCCACATGTTTTATATTAAGATGTAGAAAAGATTGACTATCTTCCGTTGCCACACACAAATTGACTGTTGTACATTTGTTAATAGTTGAGCTAAATGTGCTGACACCAGCTGATTCTCCAGCATGGTGATATGAGTACATAACCCTGCATTTGGATGCCGTACCACGGTACATTTGACAGACTTGAGCCATTGTAGGGAGTAGTTTTTGTAAAATTTTTCTGGGTGCAGTAAAGGCAAGGAGTGTGTGCTACATTTTTTGACAGAAATCTAGGCATTTTCTTATTTTTTTCTTTCTTTTTTTCATTTTATAAATAAAGTTTTTTTATATTATACTTGAGTAAATGAAACCAGAAATGAAACAAAACTGGTTTAAAAAAATCCAATTTTCTAAATTCCCCGTTCTTATCATTTAAACCTCTTTGAGGCGGCTACCAAAAGTCCTGTATCCAGGAGAAACCCTCGACATGAAGTGGACTTTACAGTGTCCACATTAGAATTAGTTAGTTAAACCTCCAGTAGAGGTCTAGCAATTGTAACTCTTTCCATCCAAGCTTGCCTTCCTTGTCTGATGTCTTTGGACATCAGAAAATCACACACACCACCGTCTCTTGCACTCTGTTTGACTTAAACTAAATATCATCATGATGTGTGAGGGAAGCCTCAGCTCAAACAAATGTCGAAAAAAAGTTATCTTGATATATGATATGTGAGACAGACTGATATAAATAGAAAAGTCAAAAGAATTACTCACTTCTCAATGTGTCTCAGTAAATCAATATCCTGATAAAGAAGCTTGACAACCTGCTTCAGATTTATGTAGTAAAAACTGTGCAGGAACGCAGAGGTGTCACTGGTGGGAGTTTTTCTGTACAGTGAGGTAGTTAATTTGCACTTTAGTGTATTTATCAGCAATCAACTTGCCGTGTATGTCTTTGGACCACCTGGAGAAATTCCATGTAGGCACAGGGAGAACATGTAAACTCATCACAGAAAGGCCCCAGCATGTTTGAATCCAGAACCTTCGTTTAATGAGGTGACAAATCTAACCCCTGCATCACCGTGCAGGTGTGAGAGTGCATGGTGGTCTGTTGTGTGTCTGCAAGCAGTGGTAGTGACTGGCACGGCGCTGATTTCCACCTAGGGCTGCAGCTAAAAAACCTTTTTACTTTAATTGCGAATTTGTCATTTTGTTGATAAAATGTGACCCATCTGCACGAAATCAGTCGCATTGCGCCTTGGGCTATATCCGTGATACAGCCTGAATTACTTTAACACATGATAAAATATTGATTTTTATTACTTACATCAGTCCATTTAGTTGTTTTCTGCATGTAGGTGACATATATTTCAGAGCGTAACAATATAATGCTCCATATCACTGCCAAATACCGTCAGACACAATGTGACTGATTTCGTGCAGATGGGTCGCAAATATCAGAAAATAGTGAAAAAGCAAGACCAATGTGATGTCTCCAAATGTCTTATTTGTCTGTCCAACAGTTAAAAATCCAGCAATTAGATCTGTATTTATGTTTGACAAATATCAAAATCCCACATTTTCAGCGAGAACCAGCAAATGATCTCTTGCTGAAAAAATTCTGTTAATCTTTTTTAATCCACTCTGAAGTGTACCTAAACAAAACTAAAATCTTGTCATGCTTATTTATGTGTTCATTCCTCTGCTTTTTGTGCTCCAGATGCTGCAGGACTGTCCAGAGTCCAGGCGGGAAGTGGAGCTGCACTGGAGGGTATCACCTTGTCCTCATGTTGTGTCCATCATAGATGTTTATGAGAATCTGTACCAGGGCAGGAAGTGCCTCCTCATCGTAATGGAGTGGTGAGTCCTTCTTGCACATGCAAAGACACGTAATTAGAGCCAGTAATGAATGTGTGGCCTTGAAAAGTGATAGCATATGTTGAGATAACTTTTTTTTTTTTTTTTTTTCCCCTGGACACTGTTCACCTTTCAATGGCTCCTGGGAGTTGTGGCTGGTAGAAGCTGCTGTGTGTGCTCATGGAGCCAGCTCCTTTTTTTTTTATTGCATACCAACTGAGTAGAGTACAGTAGTTTCCAGACCACTTCAGGGCAGAAAGTAATTAAAAACAGAGAGGGGGTGCTTTGTCTGTAACATAGTAAGGCATCCACCTCATGTCTAATTTCACCTTTTATGTTACGAAAACTAAACATAAAACAAACTTAATATGATACGACTGATGTGATATCATAAATAAAAAATGTTGACTGAGAAAAATGAAAGTGACAAGTCGTTGAAAGTGTGGTATGCTTTCCAACTTTAGCGCAATTTGATAAATGGACTGTTTATAGATGGCAGATATTTCGATTTGTCACACGAGGCAACACACAGGTGGAATCAATGATAGCCATGACAGTGAACTAGGATGAAGAACCTCTGCCAAGAGGAATACCGCCATCATTCATACATCTGTGCTGTCCCTACTTTATAAATTCTGTTATGAAAAAGTCTTTATTGCAATTTGCGAGTTAATCTAATTGTTTACTGTGCGTCAAGGAAATTTAAACGTTTTTCTATAGCACTACCATTTGCGGTGCCTTTATTAAATCACTTGCAGTGTGTGAATGGAATTCCAGTTCCGACTGGATGGTGAGGCAGACGTGCTTTAATGCAGTAGCTGATTTCTAAATCAGCTTTAGTACAAAATTACATGAAAGCTGTATCTGATTCATTTCCCAATTAAAACTAAAGGCAGCCTTGTGTTTCTGCCACCTCATTTGTTACCACTTTGGACACAGGGTGCTCAGCTTGCTTTTGCCAGGGGCTGCTTTTACAAATGACTAATCCAGGGCCTATTTACTTTTAAAAAAAAATAAAAAATTGATAAGATAAATAAACATTAAAAGGACCATATCTAGTCTTTTTTATTTCAGATATTTACTTCCAAATAAACACAGAAAAAGCCAAGAGACATTATTAGACCCAAATTCCCATTTGTGAATCAGTTTATTTCATTGCAAATTCTGTCGGGCCCGCAGGCTGTAAAATGAGTTTCACTGGCCTAACGGTTTTTCATTGAGTAGTAAAGGAACAAACATGTTGTAATGCCTTTACAGGCTCATCATACTGTCTCATTTTTGTTTTCAGCATGGATGGAGGTGAATTATTCAGTCATATCCAAGACAGAGGGAATCATGCATTTACAGAAAGAGGTAAAAATATATATATGTACTGTTGTTTCTAAGATTGTTTTGATACTTGGCATTTGGTCACAAACACTATGTTGGAGCAACTGCTTTATGATTTTACAGTGGAGTCAAACACATGTTTTTGATAAAGAGAACAGACAATAATTGGCCTTTTTCCAGTATGTCATGTCCACAGTGTGAGTTGGCACCTTCCTATGAGTGGGAGGTATTGTGCAGCCTACATTTCTTCCTCCAACAGCGGCCTCTCCAGCTCATTCTATTTCCTGGGACATGCCCCAAAGGATGCAAACATATCGAATAGCTATGAAAAAACATCATCAGTCACACAGACAATCAAAGATAGGCTCTGAATTCCTGAAATCTTTAACTTTATCGGAAGGTGCTGCTGAATGTATAGTTTCATCCACATCCATACCAGCCCTCTTCCCCTGAAAAGCCAAATACCAAGCCATACGATGTCTGTCATTTCTCTTCACTTTCTTTTTACTCAGAGGCCTCAGACATCATGAAAAGTATAGGAGAAGCCATTCATTTCTTGCATTCCATCAACATTGCTCACAGAGACATCAAGGTAAATACCTCTCTGTATACATCTTAGAAAAATGCTGCAGTGGAAAATGCAGAATTTTCCAGTAAAACCTGCAACTGTGGGATACCTTGTGGGGAAAAACTGTACATCGTTAGGAAAAAAAAAAACAGTGAGTAAAATTGTTGCTGTGCTCTGTGACAGTTCATTATCTCATGTGTGACAAAGACCCAATACATTAGGTAAAGTAGCACAGTCCAAAAAAAAAAAGATGGGTTATGAAAGCAAAGTCCTTCAGCATCTTTTCATAGTGAACATTAAATTGTTTACATATGTTAACATGAGAGTAAGGGGAAGCATGAGTGGTCATGGAAGGAGACAAGCTTGACAGCTCTAATGTGAAACAATTGTATGAGTCAAACACTGGATGTTTTCACTTAAGATCTTGTTTACAAGAATAATTGGAAAAATTGAGTGCGGTGTGTCACTTGCCAGTTACATAATTTCTGTTCTGCAGACACTGGATCACTGTTTTTTTCTCCTTCAGCCAGAGAACCTGCTGTACACCTCCAAAAGACCAGACGCTCTCCTTAAGCTGACTGATTTTGGTTTTGCCAAAGAAATCACAACTTTAAACTCTTTGGCAACGCCATGTTTTACTCCCTATTATGTTGGTAAGACCACAGACCATGTGCTATTGAAATAATTAGTCAGGCTATAAAGGTTAAAGAGGCACTTGAGGATTTTCTATGCAGGATGTTCGCAAGATTAACAGATTCTGGGTTAAGTTGATGATAATTGTTATAAACTATGACACAAGATCTCTATTCATCACTCCTGAGTGCAGTCTGTGTGTAAACACAGCTGTGAACATGCATTTTCTTTTTTTTTTTGATGAATGTCACATTGAACTGGTTCATCTCACATTAGACCTCCTGATGTCAGTCATTGCTATACATCAACCGAAACAACTGTATCAACATTTAAATTTCACCTCTACACATTTTTGTGTCCGCAAGATTTATTGAGTCACGGAATTCTAATAAGCAAACTGCTGCCGTTTTCTTTCTGCTGCCTTCGTGTTTTGACAGTGCCCATTTATCATTAGCTAGTACCCATTTTATATACTCACTGCAAGTTCCTGTGTGGTTTTTAAACTTAACTTGACCCCGTCTTTTTGCTGAGCGCTTTCACTGAGGAATATCTGCAGACGGGTTGCCCTTTGTGAAAAGTACAGTGCATCTGGAAAGTATTCACAGCGCTTCACTTTTACCACATTTTGTTATGTTACAGCCTTATTCTAAAATG